CCGCCTCAATGAGATCGTCAGTCAGACAGATTATGACGTTGTAGTCAGTTATTTTTATAAATTATGTGTGCGTGTATGTGTGGGTCGCACTGAATGCGCGCGTGTGGAGCCATTGTAAATTAACGCGAACACACACACTCGCGATAAGGAGCAATTTGGATAAGAGCATGCGGCTGTTGGAAACTCGCAACATTTCTCGTTCTCTCTCTCTCTCTCTCTCTGGGAGTAGCATTATAAGTTGATACGTTCGTCATATGCCTTTTTGCTACAAGTCGCATATTGTTTTATAACTATATTTGAAAACATTTTAATTTCCAAACATTAATACACAATTTAATTCACTGTTTTGTTTATGCATGCAGGGTACGCCCTTTTCTGACATTGACCTTGAAAAAACGTATACCAAATAAATCACTCGGTTCATAACATTCGGTGGCAGAATGAGGATAGAAACACTTTTACATTTAACATATATAGTGACTTAAAATGCAAAACAACGTATCATCAATATATTTGAAATTGAATTTTTTCAATGCTTACGGTTCACTACGTCATTTTACCGCTATATAAGCTTTTAGCAAAAGATATATACAAGTTATAACCAAAACTCATAACCAATAATGACCAAAACTAAAATATTTTTCTAAATAAATATAAGTTTCTATTTAATATCGATTTGAAAAGAGATGTTACGTTATTTAGCATTTTAGTTGCTGATATATATATCTATGTACAACCATATCTACTTTTTATATATGCTTATGGTATATACATACATGCCGCTCGCATGTATGTATGTATGTACTTTTACGCGCGTTGTTTTTATTTACTAAAATATTTATTTATTCTGTAGGCGGATTTGTTTTTACTTCTTTTCAATTTTTTTGTTTTTTATTTTGTTTTCATTTATTTTAATTTTTAGTTTTTAGTTTTTAGTTTTTTTTTTTGTTTATCACTCACTTCAATTCCACATTCAATCCAATATATTTGGACGTGAGCAATGCGGCTCGGGCAGGCGGACTGAAAAGCGCATAGTACAATATCGGACGCGCTGACATATTTGCTAAAACTTCTTGACACGATTTCTTTACGATTCCACTTGCTGGTGGTGCTGTGGCCAGCCAGCCAACGGGTGTGCGACTAAACGCCAAATCGGTGGCGAACGCTTGATAACGCCCGTGTCGGTCGGTGGGCGATCGCAACGTGCTCCGAAATTTGTGTAGAAGTACTACATGAAGAGCAGCAAAATAAATTGAAAGCAAAAACATATGTTTGAGAAAAAAAGTATCTTTTCTAAGAGCGCACAAATGCCGGCTGAATTACAAAAGCTCGGTGGCGGTGGGAAGCCGTTGCGGTGCTTTGTTATATTACAACGAATACATAACGCACACTAACTACAGAAGAGTCACAACTCGAAAAATGGCAATTGTTTAGGAGGTAGAGAACGCCATTAACACAAAAGTGGACTTAATGCTGATTTTCCAGTTAAGTAAGATAGTGACGACAATGAAATTTCTTGGCTAGGTAGATAAGAGTATCGCGAATTGAGACTCGTATATAGAAAAATTGATTTTGAGAATTTTGTAGTTGGGCCTCTTTTGTAGTTAATGTGGGATGTGTAATTATACTAATGAATATTTAGTAAATAAGTAATTAACGTCATAAACAAGTAGGCCTTTAAATATACATATATGTATATGTCAACATATTGCGGCTATTAGAAACCTTTCTCTCCCGACAAAAGGTTAGCGTAAGTTCTTCTTATTCTTTATTGGCGGTTATAGCCAAATTTACAACAGCGCGCCAGTCATTGTTCTTTTTCGCTGTTTGGTCTTCGATGGTCGAGAGAGGGCTTTGGTTCTCAATTGCCTACTTAGTCCGAAGTAGCACCTATTGGCAAGAGTTATTCTGCGTTGGATTTCGAGGCTGACGTTGGTGCTAGTGTTAATGCTGGTTCCAAGATAAACGAAATTATCTACGACTTCTAAGTTATTTCCGTCAACAGTGACGTGGGAGTCAAGCGGGAGTGCAACAACTGTTTGTTTTATGACTCGTTCACTACCAGACCCATTTGCTTCGCTTATCCTGTCTGGAAATAGCAGAACTAATGGTGCGGCTGTTGAGGCTAATGATATCAATTTTTATAGAAGAAGTGTAGATGTCTCTATTCAGTTTTGCAGCTTGAATTATTTTCTCCAGGAGTAAATTGAAGAAGTCACATGAAAGGCATTCGCCTTGTCTGAAACCTCGTTTGGTATCGAACGGTTCGCGGAGGTCCTTCCTAATCCCGACGAAGCTTTTGGTATTAGTTTTGCGGGGATGCCAAATTCAGACATAGCGGCAGCTCCTTTTCGTGCTGTCAAAAGCAGCTTTTTAATCGACAAAGAATGGAGATTGGTGTCCAAAGTGGTGCCGTTCCTTTTCTCACGGGTCTCTTCTAAGATTTGGCGCATGTTGAATATCTGGTCAGATCTCAATTTTCTCGGCCTGAAACCACTGATAAGATCCAATCAGTTTGTTGACGGTGAGCTTCAGTAATTGCTATTCGAACTTTTTCATGGTAGGGCAATGGAACATCTTCTCCATCATCATCGATTGGAGAATCTGGCGTTATATTTTTACTGCCATTCATCAGGCTGAAGAATAATAATTTTAGTATGTTCTGGGCATCAGTCACTAGACCCCCCTCGGGAATTCTATAAAAGTATGCTCCGGTATTGAAACCTTCCGCTAGTCGACGCATCTTTTCGTAGAATTTTCGACCATCACCCCTGTCCGCCAGCTTTTCAAGCTCTTCGTACTCTTCGTACGCCTTTCGGCCTTTCTCTTTTTTATCTGCCAATGCGTCTCGCATTTTGTGGACGATTGTAACGTAGCGAGGTGGGCTGTTTTTTTCACTCCACTGCAACACTGAGTGTACCAGCTTTTTTTACACAGCCGTATAAGTTTTGCGAGGGTACCAAATTCAGAAATAGCTGCATAAAAGCAGCCCTTTTTCGTCCTGTCAAAAGCAGCTTTGAAATCCACGAAGGGGTGGTGTGTATCGAACCTCTTTTCACGGGTCTTTGGCGCATGGTGAACATCTATTCAGTTGTTGATTTTCCAGGTTTAAAGCCACACTGATAAGGTCCAATCAGTTTGATGACAGTGGGCTTTTATACTTCACACAATACGCTCAATAGAACCATATATGCGATGGGAGAAGCCAGATAAATATCTTGCGCAACGATGATTCTTCTAGATAAGCGAATGAGACTATTGCTATAATAGGGGACCTTGACATGCCGTTTAAATCGTGTTTGACAAAAGTTTGAACTTAGAAGTTAGGTTTCTACTAATCGCATACGGAATGTAACCAAACATTAAGTGACAATTTAGAGTTGGCAAAATATGTATTCCAATAATATCGACTAAACTGGAGTAGGCATCGATTAGAATGAATGGAATGTGAGTTTTCTATTAGTTTTGAGCAAAAATTGGTTTTCAATGTGATTTTATTTGAAAGATTTCACATGGATATGCAAAAACCCAATTTTTCTACGAAAACATCTATTTAATGCGGATCTGACCATAGTAAAACGCAAGAAAACAATCGAAAATCGTATACATGTGGTCGCGAAAACTGTAAAGTAGCAATTAACTATACGGATATTAGGTATTTAGTATTAACCCGATTATAACTATTTTCGGTACAAGGGCAGACAGTTATAATAAACTGGTACTCATCAAGGGCATACTTTCCTCATAAATAGATGTTGTATGAATTCATTTATATATATCCATAAGATTAACCGATTTTCGATACAAAGGCAGACATAAGCACAGCGGTTCATGGTACTTGAAAATTTATATTTATTTCGAAAGTTTTTAAGTAAAGGTTGCATACCTTGGCACGCACTATTATTGCAAACTTTTATCAAGATGTACTTATAGTTGCTTGGTTTATGTCATGTAAAGTAAAACAATTGAGTTTTAAATTTTGTTATATGTGGTTGTAGTATCATTTCTTCCGTTCCCATGTCGTTAAATAAAAACTGTTAGACAAATATTAAGCGCCAGTTATAATTGAAATTGGTAGAGTAGTTCCTGGGTTGTGAGATTTTACCTCAGAAATGCCGATGCCACGCGCGTTGGTGAATTTTATATACAGATTTACATGCAACTCCGGCATGTATTCTTTATTGATGGTTAAACAGACATCCGCAATTCATTTCGACTCATCTATTTTTAACAATTTTGGATGTCACAAACAACTATTAAGCGAAAAATATATTATATTAAAAGTATAACCAAGATCAAAAGGAATTTAAGATTAGACGGTCTTACAAATTGAAACTGAAATTGATATTAAAGCGTATGAAAAATTTCAATAGTTATGGAGAGGCCAATTCAATTTAACGTCGAATTGATTGATTTGTCTTTGTGGTGAGTTTAGGTTGTATACACTTTGTACAGATCTGTCTCATATTGATATTTTTATAGCGTCATCTATCTCACCCAAGTCCATTGGCTGCAATTAATCGCTCTAAATTTATATTATTAATTTATTTTTCTTTTCCAAAAAGTGACTCCAATATTTCTATATAAAATATAATTTTATAGTATATTACTTCTGAGTTTTTAAATTAACGGTTACGATTTTACGTGTGAGTCAGAATAGCGTAAGCACTACAGTGGTTAACAAACTGTTTTAAAAATTAAATCACACAGTTTGCACAAATACATGTATGTTTTATACATAATTAGAACATTTATGTATATGTAGGTGTGTATATAGTACATTTGATTTCATATGTGCGTGTTGTTATTTTGCTGCATCATGTTTTCGACTTATTTTTGTAACCACAACAACAACATTAAGGGCGCAAGCAGCTGTTTACTATTTGGTCAGCTATTCTTGTTAGTCCGCGAGTGGAATTGATATAAATAAAGACAAACATTTCGATTTCATTAAATTCTAGAAAGTGTTCGAAAGCAAAGCAAACCAAAACAAGTGCGTGATGTCCAAGCCAAAATTGTATTATTCTCTATTTAGCCCACCAGCACGGGCTTGTATGCTAACCGCTGAGTTAATTGGACTCGATTTGGAATTAATGTGAGTTTTACATTAAATTAATATATGTGTATTGGCTATTTAACAATTTGTTATTGACAGGTTAGTGAATATGGCGGCGAAACAGCATCTCACACCGGAATTTCTGGCGGTGAGTGGCTGCCATGATTGCCATGGTTTACTGTAAATTTCTTGTGTATTAATTCCTTATATGCCATTTTTTAGCTAAATCCGCAGCATCAAATACCTGTGTTCGTGGAAGAGGACAATGAGGTGTTCATAGACAGGTAATGAAGGAAATTTGGAAAATTTTGTGTATATATGAACATATGTACATATATATGTACGTTTTCTCTTACATAAGCATACATTTGTATGTTGTTTACATATGTATGTATGTACATATGTACGTGACATAGGTGCATATAATATAAAGTGAAATATTGTTAGCTGCGATGCGCTCAGCTGGATAGATTTCGGTTTATTATACTCTCGCAACAAAGTTACTAAAGAGAGTATTATAGTTTTGTTCACATAACGGTTGTTTGTAACTCCTAAAACTAAAAGAGTTAGATATAGGGTTATATATACCAAAGTGATCAGGGTGACGAGTAGAGTTTAAATCCGGATGTCTGTCTGTCCGTCCGTCCGTCTGTCCGTCTGTCCGTCCGTCCGTGCAAGCTGCAACTTGAGTAAAAATTGAGATACCATGATGAAACTTGGTACACGTATTTCATGGCTCCATAAGAAGGTTAAGTTCGAAGATGGGCAAATCGGCCCACTGCCACGCCCACAAAATGGCGGAAACCGAAAACCTATAAAGTGTCATAACTAAGCCATAAATAAAGATATTAAAATGAAATTTGGCACAAAGGATCGCATTAGGGAGGGGCATATTTGGGCATAATTTTTTTGGAAAAATTGGCGTGGCCCCGCCACTTTTTTGTACATATCTCGAAAACTACTATAGCTATGTCAACCAAACTGTATAGAGTCGTTTCTTTTAGGCATTTCCATATACAGTTCAAAAATGGAAGAAGTCGGACAATAACCACGCCCACCTCCCATACAAAGGTTATGTTGAAAATCACTAAAAGTGCGTTAACCGACTAACATGAAACGTCAGAAACACTAAATTCTACGGAAGAAATGTCAGAAGGAAGCTGCATCCAGTTTTTTTTTTTAAATTGAAAATGGGCGTGGCGTCGCCCACTTATGGACCAAAAACCATATCTCAGGAAGTACTCAACCGATTTCAATGAAATTCGGTATATAATATTTTCTTAACACCGTGATGACATGTACCAAATATGGGTGAAATCGGTTCACAACCACGCCTGAAATCTCGATTATCACTTTATCATGCGAGAGTATAAAATGTTCGGTGACACCCGAACTTAGCCCTTCCTTACTTGATTTTTGCAAAGTTTCGGTACTACGCTAAAAGCCAGGAAACAAAAAACAAAGCGGAATTTCCAAAACTGTTTCAAAAACAATTTATATATTTTAATTTATATATGTATGTCAATGCCTGGTTGAAAAGTTAATGTACATACATATTTACTACTATGAGCAAAAAATAATAAGATTTTGTTCATAATTTTAAAATTCTTAATTTATTCTTCAACATCTATGTCGTTATACTCAAAGTAATCCCCCTTGGCTGTAATACATTTGTGCCAATCCAGTTAATAACGTCAAATTACGGAATAGCCTTCAATACGCGTAGCGATTCACGGAGTTATATCAGGCGAATACAGTGGTTGCGGCACGATATGGGCTGAAAAGTTGGCGAAAAACTTACGAAGAATTAATGCAGTATGCGACGGTGCTTGTGCTTGCGGTGCATAAACCGAGAATTGGCGGCTTATAATACCAGCCTCTTTTTTTTACGAATTTTAAGCGACGCGTATAAATGTAGTATTCCTTGTTGACAGTTTGGCCGGTCGGAAGGAATTCGGACTGCACCACACCTCGATATTCGAAGAAAACTGTCAACGTAACCTTGATTTTTGACCTCTTCTGACATGGGTTTTTTCAGCTTCGGCTTACATTTGTCACGTTAACGTGTCGCCGTTTTTCGAAAAAATTGTGTGATTTTGGAACCTACCGTGCCTTCACATTTCTTAGGCCCAAATGATGTTTTGGAATGGTGTTCACCGATCCTTTCGATATTTCAACGATGCTAGTAAGATATGTGACTGTTAATCATCGACTTTCAAGCACCAATTCCTTTGCTTTATTAACGGATCATCAGTTGATGTTGGTGGCCGTCCTGGACGTGGTTCTCGACCCTCTTTGAATAATTTGTACCAATGAAAAACACCTTCTCACGACAAACAATTATCACCGTAGGCATTTTCTAACATTCTAAACGTTTCTACACCAGAAATTTGATCCCGCACTTCAAATTTAATGGAATTTCTTTGGTAAATTATTTTTCTAATGAAAAAAATCGCTTAAAGCACTTTATGCACTTCAGAAAGACAAGCATATACTAAACCCTAATGATTATTTTGATGTAACATTTGGCACAGATGTCACTGACCAACTTAGAAAGAGTAAGTTTCGAGAGAAATATAAAAAAATCTTACTATTTTTTGCCTACAGCGGTATCTATAATATATATACATATGTACATCAACATATTTACTTATGACTATTTAAATTGCAAATCAATATTATTTATATAGCTTGTTGGCATTATGCATTATGCCGTTTAAAAAACAAAACTTTTTGCAAAGAAATTTAAAAAGTATGTTAATTCGTGAAGTAACGATTTCTAAACGTTGTTCGGGCGTACGTTTTTTCATGATGCAATGCCAAACAAGGCTATTGAAAAAAGTACCTCTACTTAGATCACCCGTTAAATATGAATTTCGACACTTTTTTTTAACTGACAAATTTGCTAAAGACTCGACCTTTGAGATTGTAAATAGAATGTTTTTAAAATACTTACAATTAATTGAAAATAGTAGCATACATTTAGAGTTCACAACCCGTATACTTCTTACATAAAATGAAAAATTAAAGACGTCATCAGATATTTTAAGCAAAGAGCTGTCATATTGAATTATTCTCGAAATTAAATGATGATGATTATTATATTTTTTCCGTTCAAAAGTTGAAAATGATGTGTTCCTGTTTTTATTATACCCAGAACAAAGTATATTCAGCGGTCTTGTTGAAATTGATAGTTGTCGAAATCAGAATTGAAACCGATAAAAAAAGAACTTATCGGTGTCATGAAATTAGATATTTTTTGGTTTGATATTCGAAACAGAAGTTGTATCAGTTTTGCGTGTCATGAAAGCCAATTTTATCGATTTTGTTATCAGAAACAAATCAAGAAGATAGTCGCTGACAGACTTGAAATGTAAGTTTAAAAAATAGGAATTAATTTTTTTTGCTACGAACTAACTTATCTTTATTTCTATAGTGGAAATCATAAAAATAAAACACAAAATGCCATTATTAAGTTTTTGGAAATATTCAATTATTTTAGGAGAATTTACAAAACGTAATAACTATTATTTAGTATATAATAATATGTAATTCAAATCAATAAAGCAGGCATGGAAATACGTACAAACATACAAATAAATGCAAGCTCACATACGATTCCCGTGGTGCAGCAAGTTGAACAGAGTCGATTTACCTATGTATGTTCGTCTGTATATATGTGAACTACTACCTCAGTTTTTGAGATAATATCGATCTTAAAATTTGTACATAGTTTTTTCTTCATATGAGACTGCCCTTTGGTCGAAAACAGAGATATCAGGTTACTATTTCATATATAGACATACAAACTAATCGTACAAAATTAGGTTATCGTATGTAAACTTTATGCCTTTTCGAAATTAATTGTGACTTACTCTGACTTACGCACAACAATTGAAATATTAAACATGTCACTTGCCTTATCCGACGGCGCTTAGTAGCTTACCTATGTATATACTTTGTTTACATTTGTTCAGTAAAACGTGGGTTTTCGAAACTTTTTTATGTTATATTAATATGCATAGAACTCAACTTTCCAATTTTATTTAAATATACTTTAACTATACCGTAATGAATAATATTTTTTATTTATTTTCTTTACACACCTCTTTGTATATATAATATTACAACATAGCCATGCGATTATGGCTTACATGGTATCTAAATATCACAAAAACGATGATATGTATCCCAAGGATTTAAAGAAACGGGCGCGCGTCGATCATATGCTTCATTTTGAAAATGGCGTACTCTTTCAAGTAATCAAAGATATGGTGGTAAGTACCATATATTAATAAAAAGTCATATACTGGGTAATTAATAGTATTGCATACTTTTTTCGGGCACTTGGTAAATTCTATTTCATCATAACCTGTTGTCTGCCTTAATATACTTACGTTTTCAAGTGAACATATTAATGTAGAATTTCAAATTCCATTCAAAAATTGGAACTCTGATTTTCTTCTCTCTTTAGTTAGGTATCACAAACCATCTAAATCATACAATTTTCAGGCTAGATAGCAGAAAACTTTGAAATATGTGCACACTTACGATCCAATTCGTTTATTTGATTTACTTCTTCTTTATTGACGGGGATACCGCTTATGTGGTTATAGCCCCTTCCAATGTAACCAGGTCCTTTTTCATTTGGCCTTTCCAACGGAGTGGAGGTCTTCCTCTGGTTCCCCGGCGGATACTGCGTAAAATACTCTCAGACCTGGTTACTGAGACTTATAGAGTTTGGTCTTTGTTCGTCAAGAGTGGACTTTACTTCTCAATTGCCTATTCAGTCCGAAGTAGCCCCTGTTGGGAAAAGTAATTCTGCGTATGATTTCGAAGCTGACATTGTTTTTGGTGTTAATACAGAATCCAAGATAGACGAATTTATAAACGATTTCGAAGTTCTGACTGTCAATAGTGATGTGAGAGCCAAGTCGCAAGTGCGAAGACTATTTGTTTGATGACAGAAAATATTTCGTATTGCCCTCGTTCACTACCAGACCTATTTGCTTTGCTTTTTAATTCAGTTTGAAGAAAGCAGAACCAACGGCGCGGTAATGAGGCCAATGCAGCAGCTGTACGCTCTTAAAGAAGATTGTACCTGTTCGTTTAAGCTCTTCAGCTCGAATTATTTTCTCTAGGAGTATATTGAAGAAGTCGCACGATAGTGAGTCGCCATGTCTCAAGCCTCGTTTGGTATCGGATGGCTCGGAGAGATCCTTTCCAATCCTGACGGAGCTTTTGGTATTGCTCAACGTTAATTTACACATGCGTATTAGTTTTGCGGGGATACCAAATCCAGACATGGCGGCATAAAGACAGGTCCCATTCGTACTGTCAAAATCAGTTTTGAAATCGATGAAGCGTTGATGTGTGCTGATCCTTTTTTCTCGGGTCTTTTCCAAGATTTGGCGCATGGTGAATATCTGATTAGACTTTGATTTTTCAGCCCTAAAGCCACACTGATATGGTTTGTTGACGGTGGGCTTAAATCTACACAGCAATTTCGATTCAAAAACAAATTTTTACAAAAGAATTTTAGAATATAGAAGATCTTGCTCTGCAGTAAACAGTAGTACCAGTAAGGGGACAATCCGTCTCTCGGTTCCCAAAAAGAATACTGATTTCTAGCAACCTGAGAATAATAAGAGAGATATCTTATCTTATTGTTGGTTGTTAGCTGTGATAGTTCTGTTTACTTTACAGATAAACGATTTCGATTTTAAACACTTAAATACATGTGACCTGGTCTACGGAGAGGGGGCTTAGATGTCAAAAAATCAATTTTCACTTTTTAGTTGATTCGGATGGAAGATGAGATGCTTTTGTTTTTTAACAGCTGTTTCCCAGAAAACTGGTTTTCGCACGTTAGCTCCCTTTTCGTAAACCAGGTCACATATATATGTATATGTATTTCAAAATATTTCGCATATATATTACTCATATTATATACAAGTGTGTGTATCCAAGCACTTAACACAATATGTATATAATATTTACATGTATTTTATTATATTCATTTATAGCGTCGCAATATCTACGGGGGCGAAGGTGAATTCAACAAAACAAATCTAGACCTCTGCGACGATGCTTATTCTTTTCTGGAGGCTTTCCTTGGTAAAAGTAACTTCTTTGCTAACAGCGAAACACTCACCATTGCCGATGTCTGCATTAATACGACGCTAGTTTCGCTCGATATGCTCATACCAGTCAATAAGAATCGGTAAGTGAGACTCGCAATACAACGTAACGCACACATTTAGTCTCGTCTTTTATCACTTCAATTACTATTGTTCCCATAGATTCCCTCGACTTCAAGCTTGGATGGAGCGCATGAAAGTTTTGTTGCCTTCATATGAGGAGGTGAATATTAAAGGTGCGAAGGTGCTGTGCGAACGCATTAGAAATTGCATGCGAGAGAACAAAGTCAAAACGGAGACCAATATTGAATATGACTAGACATTTGTAATTTTGAAATTAATGTTATACCCCACTGGAATTTATTGTTCAACTCTTCTTCTAAGTTTATGTGGAAATTTTTATTACATTTTATTAATAAATTTTTATTTTTGTAGTTAAATACATATAGAAAGTAATGCAAAATTTATTTAAAAATGTATTGTGTTAAGGCAGACTTGCAAAACTAATTAATTTTTAGCGAAATTCAAATTTATTCTTCAACCCGGTTGCCAAGTGCTTCAAAATAGGTTCCGGCTATTTCTTTAAAATGAAGATTTCTTGAGTTCTGAGTACAGAAAAAAGTTACTGACATAGTTCCAGATAATACAAACAAACTCCAGAGTAATTTAAAGCAAATTTGCACCGTTTTCATTATTTTGAGTTGGAAAAGGCCTTCGATGCTAATTGTTTGTTGCGAGCAAGCATTTTTGATTGGCACAAATTATTCAAAGACAACATCAACTTATGATCAACACGTCAATAAAATAAAGAAATCGGTGCTTGAGAATCGACGATTAACAGTCAGATCTCTTACTGATATCGTTGGAATATCGGAAGAATAAATGAAAACCATTTTGAAAAATCATTCGTGCCTAAGAAAAGTGAAAGTACGATTGGTTCCAAAATCTCTCAATTTTTTCGAAATATATAGTCGCGTTAACGTCTGTGAAACAAGATGTCATGAAACGTATTATTACCGACGATAAGTCTTGGATCTATGCTTAAGACCCGGAAACAGACAACTAAAAATCGTAGCAAAGGTGAGCCGAAGCCAAACAAACCAAGTCAAAGCAGGTCAAAAATCAAGGTTATGTTGAGTTTTCTTTGATTATAGAGGCGTGGTATACTCCGAATTCCTTCCGATCAACTAAATTATCAAAAAGGAATAATATTCGAGTTTTTTTCGCCTGTTGCGCGAAGCTATTCGTAAAGAAGGCCGGAATTTTAGGGGGCGACAACTCTTGATTTTTGCACCTCCGCAATGCACCGTTGTTTACAACATTGATTCTTCGTGAGTTTCAACCAATATCGTGCCACAAACGCCGTATTCGCCTGCGAACTCAAAAGACAGCTTCGGGTAATCCCTTTTGAGTCAATTGAAGACATTAAACGTGAATCGCTACGCGCATTGAAGGCTATTCTGGAAATTGTGAAAATATTAGGTACTTTAAGGGGACGAAACAGATTTTGAAGAATAAATTAAGAATTTTAAAATTATGAACAAATCTTTTTATTTTTTGCTCATAGTAGTGTACGCGAACTAGTCCCTCAGGTTTTATAACATCGATCCAAAAAGTTGCACATTTTCGAAACCGACGATATCGGATCATCATTGCACATAGCTGCCATACAAAGTGATCGATCAAAATCAAGCACTTGTACGGAAACTTTTTTATTTGACATGATATGCCAAATTCCGGCGTGGATTATTTTATAAGGCAAGACCACAATACTTGAAGACATTTTGCAGATCGGATCACTATAGCATATAGCAGTCATACAAAGTCAACTATCAAAGGCAAGTTTTTATATGAAAAACTTATTTGACGAAATATCTTCACGAATTTTGACATGTATTATTTTCCAAAGCAACGCTAAGGTAACTGAAGAAATTCTCCAGATCGATCCACTATAGCATATGGTAGCCTTAAAAACTTAACAAAGAAAATTATGGCAAGTTCTTTCATGGAGACTGCTTCATTTGRTTCCCATTGCAGAACACAAAGCAAGTTCTATATAAAATATTTCAAGTGAAAGTTTCAAATTTTTTAATTGAATTTAATTTCTGCTCCCATATAATTCACAAAACGCATAAAATACCTAATTATCTGTTGTTTTATTAATTTATCTTAAATGAAAATATTTTAGTTAACACTATTTACATTAAATATATTTACAATAATTTCGAACAGCATATATTAGCTTCAAAACGCATATATGTACTTAAATTATGCAACTTATTAGTGATTTATGTTTAAAATTAAATTCAAACGCTGCTTAGTATTAAAATTCATTGAGTACACGGAATCTTTATGCACCATTAAAAGCTCATGAGTAGCTAAGTTTATATATTTCACATCTACATTACTTGTAGTATGTAGTGGTTGCGCTGCTAAAACTCTGCACACACACGCCTAAATATCTAAATCCTCTCCAATGCACAAAGGGTGTTTTTTGCACTTTTTATGTAGCACAAACATTGCATTTATAGGCTTCAATATCAGGTATATATAATATTTGTATGTATGTATTTTGCCTTTAAAAATACTACAATTTTCTAATTCTTTTGTTTTTGTTTTCTTGAAATCGTTTTTCAATATGTCTTTTCTTTATAGTCTTTTCAAGTATTTTGTTCACATTTTTTTTTTTTTTTTTTTTTTTTTTTTTTTTTAATTTTTTTTTTTACAACAGATTACAGCTTGGGCTTCGCTCGTTGTTTNAATATGTCTTTTCTTTATAGTCTTTTCAAGTATTTAGATAACGATTTTTTTTTTTTTTTTTTTTTTAATTTAAGACAAAATGCAATATTACAACAGATTACAGCTTGGGCTTCGCTCGTTGTTTAGTAAATGCATACATAATATATTTACAATTAAATACAGACTACAGATATTGATTATAAGTTTGAAATGGTTATGGAGACTTTCGTGTGATTAATGTGAAACTGCAAATCATGCGGTTCTTCTTTTAAATTTTCGAAGTTTTTTTTTGGATATTTTGTATATTTCATTTGTCTGTTATATTTTAGTTAGCAAGTCAGTTGTGTGATTTCTTTCGATTTTGCTTTATATGATATCCCAGTCCAAGTAAATGATTTCAATATTCGTCAAATAGTCAAGCATTTGAAGATAATTTGCAGAAAGAAAGAAAGGTGGCTGTGTTTAGGTGAGCTAATTTTTGAATTAAAAATTTTGTTTGATTTTGTGTTTAAACTTTGTATAAAGCAATAAAATTATATTCTCGAAAAGGCATATGAGAAGACTAATTACAAATGAAGATAGTGAAGCACATTAATGCGTTACTATTTGGTAAGTTTTTCGTGCTTTTATTATTGATGGAAATTTTATAACTACCTACGGTTTCACCTTTTTTTTTTTGTAGATTGTGTAAAAGTAAAAGGCTTCACCGAATCGGAGTGTGCTCACCAAATTCAAAAAAGCATCAAACTCGCCAAAAGTCCTTTCTTTAAGTCTCCTTGCTTGGAAAAAAACGAAAAGAGACTCAGCCACAAAATTAAAAGAAAACCATTCCTATTTATACATAAATACTTATTTTCATAACGAAATACATGTGTACATACATACATGTACTTTTATAAATAAAGCAAAATTAATGTGCAATTTTTCTATTCTACTGTTGACCTTGGCATAGAACAATTATCCGTTAACTTTGGCATCGAAGAAATCTTCGACCCTATGGAAAGCGGCGATCTGTTACTTTTCGTAGGACATCGCCGTGTTAATTTTCATCGGTCGGAGTAAGCAATACAATCATGCTGCATCGTTTACCTTGCTTGCTTAACAATGTCCACCATATCCAGCTGAGATTATTTCTAATATATCGTTAATGTTGAAAAAAATGTAGTTTTGAATTTTTTTGAATGAAATTTTTTTAGTTTTGGTAATTTAAAAAAAAAGAAATTTCAAATTTCGATTTGATCAATTTTGTCAGAAACGAAATGAAGGTGAGGTTTTTAATTTTATAAGAGATGAACATTTATTGGATAGGAAAGTACTTTTTTAGTTAGATTTATAACCATATTCAAAGCATATTGAATTGGAATACAAACATTTCTACTTGATATATATATTTTTTTTATTGGCTATTCACATGCAACTTTACTCGCTTTGTTTGACAATTTATACTTTAAGAACAAAGCAAAGAATGTCAAGTGTGTAAATGAACGCTTTACTTTACATTCTGGTGAGTATTGGTTGGCAAAKCGTAAAGGATGAGAGTCGCCCAATATTTTGCTTCGCTTTGCTGCGTTTCACTTCGATTGAAAATACTCATAAAAGAGCATACATCAACTTTTCTGTCAAAGCAAATTTCTGAAACAAAGCGAAGCAAAAGTTGTATGTGAATATGGAGTTAAGGTTAAAATTTACTAAAAGCCATAAAACATTATATGCTATTAAAATTCGCTGGATGGAAGTTGATAACTTTATAAGCCCATTCCCAAAAGTCCAATACATTGGAAGACTTGTCAATTCGGTTTTAAGGAAATCATAGAAGCCTTACCAGAAGTCTCTCAGTTAATTAATTACATAAACGATATTTAATTTGTTGCTGTTACAAGGACGAACAAAAAGTTCGAAAAAAACAATCGCACACAATTTAATTCCTAATTTAAGTTGGAAGTTAAGATGTAAAAGAATATTTTATGAGCGTTATAAAAATAATAATGCTTCGAAGGAAAAACCAACCTTAATAATTTATATTTTTTTACAATTTATAAATATGTAAATCAAGGAATAATGAATTCTAACTTGTTTATAGTAGTCAGCTAATCATGCAATGCAGATCAATTGAAAGTTAAGATACCAAATATTATACAGATTTTCAACAAAATTTTACATATATGTCACGATACTGTGCCTTAATTGACATTTTGAGCATGTATTTAAAAATATATATATCGAACTTATAACTGCTTATATGAGTATTTCTCGTCACCTAAAAAAGCAAAATAAGGTAACATCACTTTTAATAAATTTACAGGCGAAGGAAAACCCATATAATAGAAACCGCTCATATTGAAAAAAAAAAATTAAATTTTTATTATAAAATGGTTATATATCGTCACCTAAAATGCAAACCAACGTATCATCAACAAAATCGAAATTGAGTTTTTATTCCTGAAAAATTTATATTATTATATTATTGCTATGCATTTTATTTAACGATGTGTATATACATACATACATACACATATATCTATATGTTTAATGTTTATATTTGATTCTGTTACTAATGAGCATGTGGCTAGATATCGCATATTTTTTTTAGCAAAATCGAAAGAAATCGCATTGAAAAGTAGTCAATTAGGAGTTTTGTTGCTGTTGTAACAACATGAAAATCTGCTTAACTGGTTCAGCTAGAACTATAGATCGTTCCATTTTCGAAGACTCTACAATGTGAATTGCCTACTGCTGCATAATTCTACGTTATATACAACCTAAATAAGCATATTTATTAGTATTTCTTTTTTTCTAAAAAATTAATATTAGTCTCAAAATGTTTTATTCTGCGCTTTGCTCATTGGCTCATACAAATGTATATTATTTTCGTAATTTGTTGTTGTTTGCTATTGTGTTTTGCCAATCATCACAGCGCTTTTATATCTAAATACATACATACATATGTCTAATGCAAACGCACATTTACAGTTATTACAAAATATATATCGTTTTATGCATATGTAAATTTATGTACATATGTATATGCACACCACTAATATTACAAAATAATCTATTTATGCGCTTGGCATTTCCATTTTCGACAACACTGCAGACATACATACACTATTTAAATATACAATATATATAATTACACTAATGTGATCCCACATCAATATCTTATAAAGCAATAAACTGGTATGTACACGAATGCATAGTTTTGTTGTTGTTTTTGTTTTTTTACATTTAAATTTACAGTAATTATTAAATATAGTAGAAACATACTTTAACTGCTAACATATACCACGAACAAAGAGCTCGCAACTTCGTCGCCATACGACAGCTCAATCGAATGTGGTCCAATTGTGCATGCCACCGCCGGCGAGGGCAGCCGTGTTGGCGCCGCCACTATTGCTGCTGCTGCTCTTTACATTTGCCGCCATAGTTGTTGCTGTTGTTGTTAGTGTGTGTGGTGCGGTCGTCAATGTGAACTGATCCAGGCCATACTTGCGCAACAGTTCAAAGTCCTCGTCTGGTGCTGGCATAGGTGGCGGTTTGCTGGTAGGCAAAGGTGGTGGCTTCATTGTGGGCGCCTTCAATTGAGCCGAGGTCAGAGCACGTGTTTGCGGTTGTGCGCGCATGTGTGGCGATCGTAGATGTTGTGGCGTGTGATACGAATATAACGGATTGCTTACGGTGCTAGCGGTAGTGTTGGCCAAGATGTTAGTTTTGTTATTGGTATTAGCTGGCAATGTGGTGGACTTTAAGCCATTCGTTTTGGCATTATTCACCGTTACATTGCCATTGCGCAGCGGCAGCGGGCGTGCATTCTGATTTAGAGGATCGAAATCTTCCAAATCGAAACTGGTGTTGTTGCTGTCGTCCAGTGATATCAGATCGTTCATGGTATCCTCTTGCGACGAGGTTGACGAGGCTGCAGCTGATTTGAGTGAATATTCGGGCACTGGCAAATGTTGTGGCTGAAGTGAGCGCAGCGACTGCGGGGTGATAGAACAAATGTTAATTATATTTGAGCTGTACACTTGATATTCCAAGTGGAAGAGAGTAAATAGCGGTGTTTAACAGTTTTTATACACAGGCAAAAAAGCGCAATTAAGGTAAGAGTCTAGTTAGCAAGCAAATTTTAAATGTTCTTCGGTTTTTTTTTAAACAAGGAACAGTGTTAATGATAAGCGATAGACAATTACAGTTTGTTTTGAACTGCGTTTGTTTGTAAAAAAAAAAAATAATCAAACGGAAGTTAAAATTAAATAAACATTTCGTTTAAACCGAACTATAATACTTTTTTTTATTTATCAGAATCTATAGCAGTTATATTCTATAGTGTTTCGATCTGAACAATAAGTTCGGAGATTTTAGTGATGCCTTGGGGATTTTAGTAATATTATATAATATCAATGAAACTGAGAGACTCGATCGCGTATATACAGACAGACAGAGGGACAGACAGGCAAAGGTACAGACGGACATAGTTAAATCGACTCAGTTCGTCACACTGATTAGTCGTCTTAAAATCGATTTGTTGCTGTTGACTCCTAGGAAAAGAGAGTTTGTTTGCAGCAACTGCTTAAGTCGGTAAACCGTAGTAGAGCGTTGCGATTTTTACAATGGATATAAATATCAAATAAAGAATTTGTTTCAGTTTTTTTTTTCTAATCAAATTTCGTGTTCGGAATCGTTGCGAATGTTGGAAGAGGCTTACAGTGATTCTGCGTTATCAAAAACACAAACCTACAAGTGGTACAAAGCCTTCAAAGATGGTCGATAGATCGTTGAAGTCATGCCTCGTTCTGGGCGACCTCTTCAACTGATGAAAATATTAAAAAAAAAGTGAAGGATATGGTGCCTAAAAATCGTAAGGTAAGTGTTAGAGAGATGGCAATAGCCCGTTCAAATGATTTTGGTGCATATTTTCTGTATGAAATGCGTTCTTGCTCGACTCGTCCCAATTAAGCAGATTTTTCTTTTCAAAAATATTATTATGAGCAAAATTTCGAAAACGATTTGAAAAAATAACGGCATTAGGGTATATTATATTACTAGTAGGTTGATTATAACCTAAAATATATTGCACTAAGTAAATAAAACTGCTCGCAATTCGAAACAAATACAACAAAATTGAACTTTAACACAAATGAGTGATACTCAAGCATTGGAATTAATGATTTATCACATATTATATAGTAAAAGAGTATGTGGTTAAAATGTTAAGAAAATTAAAAGAATAAGCATAGTAGATTTAAATGGCAGTAAGTGGAGAGGGGAAATGGGAGGCAGGAAAAGACATGTTATGTAATCCAAAAACCCGGTAGTTAGATGGAGATGAACGCAGTTAATATCTGAAAGCGGCATATCGCACTGCACTGCAGGGCCACACTACAACACTTGAATACATTTGAAGGTACGGTACAAATGCAGGTTGGTAGCATAGGCGGACAATTATTTGTTGATTACTGGGGCATGCCCCGCGGTACCTCTTTTTTCTGTCGTGGAGCCGGCACTGGTGTAGTCTCAGTCGATGCCGTCGTCGCCGCCGCTGTTGTCGTACGCGTTGAGTGATCGTCACATGAGCGCGCCTGATGAAAGAACGATGACGATGCAGCCGACACAAATGAGCCGCCACTTGAGTCGAACGATGACGATGACACCGAAGCATTGGAGGCAGTCGAAGACGACGAATGGCGCAGCGCATCGTGTTGCAATACAGTGCGGTCCGTATAGTCTTGCCAGCAATTGTGCTCCAAGCGTTGCAAGCCCGCGTGCACGGCGGCAGCGGCCATGGCGATCGCATTACTCCCGCACCCACCCGTAATTATGCTACCGCCCGACGGTGCCAGCGCCGGTGTCGCACGTGTCAAATTGAAGGCGTTCTCCGCGCCAGAACCATCATTGTCGCCGGTGCCTTGACGTCGCGGTGGTATGGGTGGCGATTGCATGTCTGGTGGATTGTCGTAAATGGAATCGGTTGTCACGATTTTGTTGGGTGTCGATGTGCGCGTTGCGGTCTGTGGCATTGCCGCTGCTGCGACATGCAACGACGTCTTCTCTTCGTCTTTTGCTGATGGCTGGGGCACCGGCGGTGGTTTCGTGTCGACATATGGATGTAATGTGAGCGCGGTTAGTTGGCGTCGCACATGCGGATGATTATAGTATGATACCGTTGCGTTGGCAGTTGTGCCCAGAGTTGGGCCGGCGCTTAAGGTTTGCAGCAGATGTGCGGCTGGTGGCGGTGGGCGCGCTGGTGGTGGACCACCGGTGCGTGTGGCTGTGAGCCTTTGATGGTATTGATATTGTTGTTGCTGTTGCTGTTGTTGATTTTGCGCTCGCTGGTGGTCATGCTGATGGTTGTTGCTCGTTAACTGACTGTGCTGATAATGATGGTTGTGTTGATGATTGTAGTGATGCTGTGGATGAGTTTGGTGAGTGGTTGAGTCTAGACTGATGCTGGGCTTAAGCTATTAACTCGTATTTATGTTTTTGTTTTTGGAAGCCAAAATATTTGTTTTTTTTTTTTTTTGTTTTTTTTGTACATTTGTTGGTTGATGATGAGCATTTGTGGTGTCATTGATTATTCAAAACATAGCACAGCAACAAATATTGGTGGTTGTGGTGGTGGTAGTAGGGAGATGTGTTGTCGATAGTGGTTTAATGGCAAATTGCCGTTGCGATTGCGTTTTAATTTTGTTTGTTTGCAGGGTTGATTTTATGAGCAAAACAACAACAACATAGAGCATGTGCAACAGAAATGCATGTACATAATAAAAAATGTAAAGAAAAAAGAACAAAACAAAACCGATAAGAACGCAATGTAACGAGAACAATGAACTTACAAAAGCACACACACACGCATATTAACGCACATACATAAATAAATATATTCTAATTTAACAAATATTTATATACATATAATATGAAGCTACATTCATATACTTATATAGTTATATATTATATATTGTGTATACATAACAACAATGCAGACATTTAACAATTGCATTCAAACTCAGAACGTCAGGCAGGCGTGCGGGAGAGCTTTCAGTGGGATCTAGTTACAGTTACGTTTGTAACAACAAAAGCGTTATATGTATGTATTATACATTCTTCCATAAGAATTTACTACGTGCATATTCGTATATTATATGGCTAGTAATGAGTGCATATTTTTTTGCTTAAGGGGTTAGATTGTAAAAAATATAATTTTTTTGGCTTAAAATACACTCAGAAATCCTAAAAATATTGGTTGGCAGAAATGTGATAAAATAGTGTCGATATTAAATTTTCTGCATTGTCGAAACGTTCAGGTCAGTAAATTTCAAAAGGTAAAACTTTAAGGTGTTATACACAAAAAATTTCATATCGTTCCGGTAAATATTCTCGAAGTTACACGCACATTTGTAAAGCCGTTTAAGAGTGCTTGGAAGTACAAGGCCAACCGCAAAAACCGGTAACAACAGGACTCGAAAACGGCTGAACAGTTTAACAAATTTTAACACGGACTTCTTAAATATATTTTTTGGTAGTTAATCGAAAATTTTTTCTCACCAATATATATTTTTTATAAACAATTAAGGCTGAAATTTTCATCAAAAAAACGGTTTTTTTAGAAACCTCCATTTTGTCAAAAAATTTGCTTACTCCTTCCGTTAATTACTAGATTTAACATTACTTTAACGAAATGTTTTTTTTTTTTTTAATTTCAGAGGATCTCCCGGAGATCAGCTGCAGTTCCTTTCCTATTAAATATTGTTACCAATACTAAGTAGTAAAATACAAATAAAAGATACCAAAATATGAGTAAAAATTTTTGGATCAATAAAAATAAGTTTTTTCAGAAACAATTCTGGAAAATTCGCTTTTTTCCGTACTTGGAATTGTATATATGTGACTCTTTAAATGCATAAGATCAACCTCTCTCTATACCACCGACGCTCGTCGCCTTTACAAAAATGTGATACGGCCAGATTATCCTAGTAAACGTCATTTTGTTTCAAAATGTTAATATAAATGATAATTGTTAATATAACTATCTTTATACACTACCAGAATAAAATGTCAAAATTAGGCTGTTTTTGAGGGTTCCACGTAGGATGCTTTTCAATTTCCGTGAATTGCCAACTCTAGTGTTGCAATCTGGAAACTCACAACTTTATATTAAATTTTTACATTTTCGGAAGGTTTTATATACGAGCGCTATTTGTGTAGTTTACAGTAACTTAAATATTCGTCTCCGTTAAAAAATGAAATTGAATCGAAAACATTGTCGCGCGATTATTTTTTACAACATTCGACGTATATTATCTTAGAAACAGTGCATCGAAGAACCTAATTTAATTTTTACCGATGAAACTCCATCGAGGACCAGTGTTTATCGATGGTATGATGAATCTAATCTAGGTTGTAGATTACTCTAAGACGAATTTCGTGTAGGGCGTCCAAAATGAGTGGTTGTTACGGAAACTATTGAAGTTGTGCATAAACTGATATTACAAGATCGTCCTGAGATCTATCGTGAGTTTGAGACAGCTATACGACCATACTTTCAACATTGGATGAACATTTCATTACGGTGGATGCCACATAATTTGTCAATCGCTCAAAAATGGCGCGTGTAGATTGGTGGTGAGAAATATTTAAAAAATACGAAAGCAGTGCTTCGAAACACTTTTTTGACATTGTGCTAGGTAATAAAGGTTTTTGATGTGTCACCCACCGTGCAGTCCTGACTTGGCACCGAATAACTTCCTTTTACTTCCGTATGAAAAAATTAAACTAAGTGATTAACGGTTGTCGACACCTGAAGAAGTGGTAGCTGCATTCAGAACGCACGTTTTGGTTGGTTGGTTCAAACACATGCAAAAGTTTATAGATCTTCGATGATTCAAACTTGTTTTTGTTCTCTAATATCTAAGGCTTCATAACTGTCTCTTATACACATCTAGATGTGTATAAGAGACAGCACCTGAAGAGGTGGTAGCTGCATTCAGAACGCACGTTTTGGTTGGTTGGTTCAAACACATGCAAAAGTTTATAGATCTTCGATGATTCAAACTTGTTTTTGTTCTCTAATATCTAATGCTTCTAATATCTAATTTAATAATAGTTTTCTTTTAGCGTATTGTAGATGTGTGAGAAGTCGTCACATGCTTTTGTTTATAGAAAAGAGGATGAGTAGAGTGCTTTGGGTTACGAGTTTTTCCTCAAAATAAAATATTTTAATTTTCCATTTTTCGATAGAATATTGGCGTTTCAATGGATCCCATACGCAAACAAGATTGTTAGAAATTCTACAGGAGTCTATTAGATCTATAAATGATTTAAAAACTCACTGATTCATCGAACATACATTATTTATTTATTGTAGAAGCCTTATATTACATATAGTTATACATACATATATTTGCATGCGAAGCTGTGCATCAATCCATATAAAACAAAGAGTGTGGAAATTCGTATTAGTCGTTCTCGTGCTGAATGTGCACTGGCGTTTTTCAGGTGATCCTGAACAAACGCCTTAGAAGAATAAATTAGTGCTTAAGTAAATATTCTAAAAATATTTTGTACCTATTGAAAGCTCGAAATATAGAACAATATATTAACTCTTATCCCGATTTGAACCTTTTTAAAGATCTTTTTTAACAAAATCTGCAAGAAGTCCATTTAAAGCTGAGAGAACTAAATATATTGACACCACCTGCCTGACGCACACACACGCATACATAAACGTCAAAACAAACACGTAACACACTAACAATATAGATTCGACACTCACAAATGCAACATTTAATTATTTGCAGTAAATAAACGAAAAACATTGATAAACAATGATAATATTCTTGTAGGAACTACTCACGCTGCGATCCACGAGTGGTGGCTTAAACAATGGATGATTTTGCAGTTCTTGCGACAAATTCATCTCCGACGAACAGAGCGAGCTTGCCGGGCTAATAGTAGGAGACGGAGCCAAATGAGCAGCAAGATGAGCAGTGCCATGCGTAACGCCCGCAAAACCGTTCGACTGTATGTGCGCACTCGAGCTGGACATCGCCAGAGGCGGGGCACGTCGCACAAACTGGCTGGAGCCATTCAAATCCTCTGGACAGGCGTATTGAAACGAGGCCGCCGTCGCCTGATTGCCACCCGTCACACTGACGGCAGTCGTACGCTTATTGCTGAAGATCGGCGAACTCGGCGCTGAGTGATGCCCACCAATAGATTTGGTTTTGCCGTAGCCGAAGCCTACACCAAACGCGCTGCCGCTGCTGCTGCCGCCGCCGATGCTATTACCGTCAATGCGATCGTGCTGCGAATTCGATGTGAGATGCGAACGGAAGTGTGTCTGCGAGCTGTTCGGTGGTGTGATGTCGCGTAATTTCGATTTGAAGTCTTTGTAGGCGCTCTTGACACCGCGTGAGCCCTCCTTGACCTGCGCAGAAGAGTAAAGGGACGAGAAAAAGTTGTGGTGGGGTCAATTAGCTATTATTAGAGCGATGGAGGTTAAGTAATATGGTTTAAAATTTATTACAAGCATACTTTTGGGCGTAAGGTAAGCGATGTTAGTGTTTACGGGATTTTAGTTACAACAAAACAAACAAAAATTAACATAACGAATAGCAAATGTTAATTTGTAAATATTATATAATACAGTCAACACTGTTATATAAAGTACATTATTTAAAGTAAATAATTAATTAACTAGCTACTTATACATATACGTACATATATGCCACTCACCGATTTGACAGCAGACTTTACGGCTGGATTTGTCTGCGTTTCAACGTAAAGATGCGCATACGGTGAGGAAACAAGCCGAAAGAAATTTTCACAATGCGTTAATAGTGATGTTGTTTAAAAAAAGAATTTGCAATAAGCATTATTTCAAAACAAATGCATTTTTTATTTTATTTTTTATTATTTAATTGAATGCAGAAATGAACGTCGAAGCGCAGCAACGTATTCGCCAGTCGTCGTCAGAGTGTTGTGACAGTTGTGACAGCGAGTAGCCGTGTGGTAGAGCATTGGCAGTGGCAGTAGCGGTTGATGATTGGCGTGTGGTAGCGATAAACAATTTAAAAATTTGAGTTTTGCGATTTTAATTATGATAGCAAATTTGTTTGGGGACAATGCGCGTTCAAAATAATCGACGATTTTAATATGAAAAATACGAAAAAAAAGAAAAGAGAGAGATACAAGTAATGTTACTGCTAGTAGAACTATGTTTGCGTGTATTGATTTGATTGTATGCTTGTATGTACAGAATTTTTTTTCAAAGCGGATTTAAGTTTTAGCTGCAATAATATAGATGAATTATATATATTTGGAGAGCACATACAATATATGTGTATATATGAATGTATGAATGAGTGTACAACTGTATCAATGGATGTGTATAATGTTAATGGATATTGCTTCTATCGGTATAAATAGCTGGTATTAATATGGATGCTTAAACATTTTTTCGGTTGAAAACGTATTTTTTAGTGCCATTGTTTTATTTATGAAAATTATTATTTTTTGGCGTATTATTGAAGTCATTACAAGCCATATCCCATTAAAAAAAAAAAAGTGCTGTAATTATTATTCTTATAATAATGCTTTCGAAGGTCAGGGCCATATATGGGTTAATTTTTAATATACTACTAAATATTCCAATACACAAATACAAGTTTTAATCATCAATACCAATTATTTACTAAAAACTTAGTTATATGCATTAAAAAAAATTTATTACGAATATTTTGTTGCACTACAAATACGAGATTTAAAGAAACAACAGTGTTTATGTCCATTTTTATGCGCCATTCCCATTTTTAAGGGGTTAGATCAGTTTACGGGTTTCAAAAATATTAAATTTTTTTATTGTCCTATTAAATTCTACAACACCTCTAGAATATTGTCCTAAATGTTTAAGTTGATCTGAGTAATAGTTTCGAAGATACAGATTTAAGAAATTATGCGCTCGAGGCTAGCTAGACTAAGTGCGCCGTCTTTAAACGCGTTTTTATCGAAACTGTGTTTTTGAAGGCGGTTGGCAAGATTTCTCGAAAACTACTTAATCCATATTCGAGAAATTTTGCACGAAGGATTTTTTCATTACAACTACTAGAATTAAAAAATGCCGCGAAACTTTCATTTTTTTGTAAAAATGTCTGCCAAAAATCCAATTTTAAGTTTTTTTCCCTTCGTCCACGTTCTAAGTTAAGGTTTGAACTAAAGCATGTATTTTTTCACTTTAGATGATACTGTAAGGAGTTATCCTGCCAACGCGGGCGCGTCTTTTTTCCGAGGGATCACCGGAAATAACCGAGTTTAAAATATTTTTCCAAAACTTTCATAATTTTTTTGTTATTATTGTAAGTTTGTACCAACAATAAATTGTAATAAAATATTTCATTATTTATATGAGAAAAAATTGCTGAAAAAAGGTTTTTTGTTTATCCGAGGAAACATTTTAACCCATTAAGAGCAAACAGCGTTTACAGAAATTTTTATGCGCCCAATCCATTTTTAACAATTATGAAAATTAAAATGGCACTAACAATAAGTAGTGTGGCAGAAATTTGCTGACGAAAAATATCACATTAGGGTGGCAGGTATGCCGATTTCATTCGATAAAGCTAGCACGAAATTTTGAAAAACCGCGAACTTTAAATAGATTTATGCTTCTATCATCAAACGAGAAACTAAACTTTAACAATTACTCCAACATAAACCACAAAACTGTGAGGATATCACTTTCACATTGAAATATTTTGTTAAATCCGCTGATTTTCTCGAAGCTGCATTTTACAAATCGGGCGACTAATTGCTTGAAATTTTTACTGTAACTTCACAGAAACTTTAGTGCTGTTATTGCAACTTGTTTTTATAAACATGTTATCGAATATATTTTTGGAAAAAATTTAACCTCTTCTTACAAGTTCGCCATTTTGCGAAAAATAGTTTAAAACGAACGACAAACTACTGTGGGTAAAAAATAATAGAGAAGGGTTTTTGATAGGTGCAAATTATTAAAAGAAGGTCGAGAACGCGTTGATGACGAACCACGTCCAGGAAGGCTATCAACATCAACTGATGATCAACACGTCAATAAAATAAAGGAATTGGTGCTTAAGAACGACGATTAACAGTAAGAAGTCTTATTGGCATCGTTGGAATATTGGAATATTCGGAGAAATCATTTCGAAAGATCATTTGGCCCTAAGAAAAGTGAAAGACGATTGGTTCCAAACTCACTAAATTTTTTCGAAAAATAGGGAAACGTATTTTTACTGTAGATGAATGTTGGATATATGCTAACGACCCGGAAGCAGACGATCAATCGGCCCAATATCATGGCAAAGGTGAGCCGACGCCGACAAACCACATCAAAGAAGGTAAAAAATCAAAGTTACTTTGACAGTTTTCTTCGATTATCGAAGTGTGGTGCAATCCAAAATACTTCCAACCGGCCAAACTGTCAACAATGAATACTATTTAAGTGTTTTGCGTAGTTTGCGTGAAGCTCTTCGCAAAAATAGGCCGGAATTATTGGACGACAACTATTGGTTTTTGCACCACGATAATGCACCGTCGCATACCGCATTTTTTCTTCGTGAATTTTCGCCAAATTTTCAACCTATATCGTACGCAACCACTGTATTTACCTGATTAAGCTTCGTGTATCTTCTGTTCTCCGAAAATTTACTTTAACAACTGTTTCGAAGATTTGAAGTATATTGGGGCCAAGGCAGATTACTTTGAGGGGGACACATAGATTTTGAATAATAAATTATAAATTTAAAATTATAAACAAAGGCTTACTATTTTTTGCTTATAGTAGTACGTACTTTACCAGCGAGTCTTATGCGTAATAATATTCCGAATCTTGTTTTGTTTTTGAAAACACGAATTTGTGGAATCATCTTCGCCTCTTGAGACCCTCATAAAAAGGTGCGTCCTAAGATTCGTCCAATAGTCGCCAATTTGTGGCCAAATGTCAGTATCATTTTTTATTAGGCAGGTAGTTAGAATGGTAAGTCAGCGGGACTGAAATCCCCTCTCTATAGTTTTTTCTCTCTGAAACATCACGTGCTGCTTTCGCTAGTTCATCTGTTTCATAGTTAAAAAATTCGAACAGCTGAACTTGCTGGCAGTTCCTTACAGGACAAGTCTTTTTTTTTTTTTTGTTTTTGTTTCTAAGTCACAATACATATTTGTTTTAGCTTAAAGGTATAAACACGAAGTACTTTTCCTTATTCTCAGTATAAAATTTCAAAGTAAAACTTAACTTCATGTGCAGTGTTTTCTTTTCCTGTTCTAACTTCCTTAAAGCAAAAAGGATACAGTTTTGTTCTGGTGACAGCTGGGTCTCCGAATATACTCTGCGACCCTTTATTTATTATATATATATTATTTATTATAAATATATAACCCACATACATGTAATATTTTTGCAACAATTTAAGCGAAGCTCAATGAGTCATGACCGAGCAATGTCTGCCAAGTGAAAATAATGAATTATGTTGTTGTCACTACAAAGAGACCGACCTTTCGCGATGTACCCGATTTCTATTAGAAGCATTCCGATCAAATGTATTTCTTCTTTGCCATCTTTAAAGCGTCGCCTTAAAAATTATCTATTTAATTTATGTCACTGTGTTAGTGTTTGCAAATAATGTTGAAATCTGAGGAAGTGAAAATTCATAAAATACCAAGCATATACCACATATGAATGTATGTATGTATGTCAGTATATATAATACATAACTACAACGAATTGTGTGGTATTTATCTTTATCAGTGCTTGGCAGTTAACGTGTTTAGTTAAGTGCTATAAGTAAGACTTTATCGTATTTTTGGTATGCCTTCGTTGTACAGTTCTTTATTGTTTTTTTTTTTTTAAATGCAGTGCTTTCTA